ATAAATCTAAAAAATTTTTCACTATAATAAAAATCGATGATAAACTGCATACTAAAGTAATGTCAAATACACCCAAGGAAGTGGAAAGTCATTGATATCGCTGGTCCTCTATTTTTTATTATTATTATTTTTTTGTTCACACTTGGTTATCTTGTGTGTCTTCAATAATTTAGACAATAACTCTGAAAGATATTACAGTGACCTTTATTGAAGATACACAAGAGATAAAACCAAGTGTTCACAAAATTGCCTCTGTCTCCTTCGAAAAAATGACGACCGGCGATATCAAAGACTTTCCAATTACTTAATTTCTGTCCATAATTGTATATATATTAAAAACAAAAAAGGTAACGTTAAAATATTTCTGATATACTATTCACTATGTGAAAAAAAATAGAACAAAAGTGAAATTGTGCTGAAATAGGTGGATAAATTAAGAATTATTATCCTTATTGAATAATTGATATTTGCTTATTCCGATAGATGGCGAAAGCCATCAGAAACTTTCACTTACACGATAAGGAGATTTTCTTAATTTATCCACCTTATCCCAATACAATATCACATTGGTAATATTTATTCACCTAGTGAATAGTGTATCAGAAATATGTTTAACGTTACTTATATTTCGTATTTATATATACACTTAGGGAGACAAAATTTAAGGAAATGGAAAGTTTTTGATAACACCAGTCGTCAATTTTTCGGAGACAGAGACAATTTTGTTCACACTTACCTCGAGTGTCTTCAATAAAGGTTACTGTAATATCTTTCATAGTTATTATTTGATCCAGTGGCAATTTTGTTCACATTTGGTTATCTCGTGTATCTTCAATAAAGGTCACTGTAATATCTTTCAGAGTTATTTTTTGATACTTATCGTGAAACGGGAATTTTCTTATTCCGATAGATGGCGCGAGCCATCAGCAATTTTCAGTTATAAGATATCTTTTTTTTTGTGAGCTATTCGCTCATCATAAGCCGTATTATATTGTATTATAAATTACTTTGTATAATATTTACGAACGGAAAAATATGTCCAGGGTAGCCTAGTGGACATGCCATCTGCCCGGTAAGCGGAACATTGTGGGTTTGTTTCCCATCCCTGGACACTTTTATTTTTCCGTTTATTATTACTCTTCACAATTCATCCTTTCATACTTCATCTCTAAGGTTAGAAATAATCGTTATTTCTCCCTAAAATAAATTTCGATTTTTCGTTCAAAAGAAACACATGAGGGATAATTTTCAAATGTCGTTCTACAATCATAATATATTAACAATTATTAAGATCTCAAATCCATAAAAATATGACTCACCTTTTCCTTTGTATAAATATTACTGGAAAATGTAATTTTTCCTTCCAGATTGTCGAAGGTTTGGAAAAGATCGATGAAGGCTGCTAGAGTAGATTTTGTAGGTTTATGATGGAAGCTGTCCTCTCTCTGGATCCCTAAGGTTAGAAATAATTATTTATTATTTCTCCCCTTAAAAAAATAAATTTCGATTTTTCGTTCAAAGGAAACACATGCGGGATAATTTTCAAATGTTGTTCTACAATCATAAGCCGCATTATATCGTATTATAAATTATTATTGGCCTACGGCCATACCACATTGAAAACACCGGTTCTCGTCCGATCACCGAAGTTAAGCAATGTCGGGCCCGGTTAGTACTTGGGAGGGTGACCACCTGGGAACACCGGGTGCTGTAGGCTATTACCTTTTTAGGGGGTTGATGGAAGGCTGGTTAAACCGTTGGTTTTCGACCACTACGACCCGGGTTCGATTCCCGCATTGGACACTTTTTTCTGTTAGAAAAAAAAAAAATACTCCAATGACCCCCGATTCTTGCAAAAATCCAACCCCACCAGCGAGTGCAAGTAACAAACGGGGCTCTGGCACATTTGTAAGTGCAAAGACGAACTGCTTTTCACATGTGTAGTCATATGGTGCGCTTACAGTAAAAGCAATTGCTAACTACCTACCATGATTATCATGGCCTTTACCACGTGTACTAGGGATAAGCAAAATAAAATAAATTATTATTCGCTACGTAAAAGCACTAAGGGTAAACCAGGAAGAATCCGTTAGCATAAGGTAAACTGGAGGTTTTCATCAAGCAAGTTTCTATTAATTATTTATTAGAAAGCGTTATAGCACTTAGGAAGATGAAGGATGTAATCTTTTGATATTTTATTTATGGATGGTCCTTTTTTATACAGACGATCTATCCGCACCTTATAAAAGATTCATTTTGCAACACGGAATTTTTCTCTAATATTTTTTTAACTATATAGAAAACTATATTATTATCTTTTTTAAAAGAGATGGAAGGTTTCTAATTAGGTTTTAAGCAAATATTTTCTCGTTTATAATTTTTTGAGGGAATTTAATTAATAAAATTAACATTGATACAAAGTTTTTTTTGTTAATATAATAATGATATTGTCGTTATAAACTATTTTTTGTTTTGTTCGAATAAATATGTTGTTAAATTAATAAATAAATAAATTTGTTGTTCTTAGAATGTATTTATTTCTACTCCTATCTTTTTTTAAATATTAATTTATATAAGAAATGAATAGATTTTTTCCAGTTGTGAAACAGAATTTTATATGAATAATATTGCTAATGAATTTGAGTGATGTGTGTATTATTTTGAGCTACATGCGAATTTTTGAAATGAACTCATGGACAAAACTTTAAGGAAGTTGTACCTTTTAGCATGTATATCAGGATTCAGACAATAACTCTGAAATATATTACAGTGACATTTATTGAAGATACACATATATACACTCATGGACAAAACTTAAGAAAGTTGTACCTTTTAGCATGTATATCGGGATTCAGACAATAACTCTGAAATATATCACAGTGACCTTTATTGAAGACACACATATATATACACTCATGGACAAAACTTAAGGAAGTTGTACCTTTTAGCATGTATATCAGGATTCATACAATAACTCTGAAAGATATTTTATACACAATGACACTTATTCAAGATACACGAGATAACCAAGTGTGAACAAAATTACCTCTATCTCCTTGAAAATAAAAAACAGACGATCAGCGACATCAAATACTTTCCATTTCCTTAAGTTTTGTCTATGAATGTATTTTCAAGTACTTTTTCAAAAACTAGAGACTCTAAAAATGAACGCGCAAAACACAAAAAAATACTATTAAAGTCAATTTTTGTGATATATTAATTTGTAGGTTGAGAGTTTGTTTAAAAAGAATCTATACATTGTGTGTGTGGCGACTTTTTCCTTTAGAAATGTGACAGTGAGTTGTCTTAACGTCAGGAAATGAATAACTCAAGAATAGTTTAGATATAATCTGTTTACTTATATGTTATCAAAATTCGAAACTATTTTAAACGCGTAAGATTCTTTTTGAAATTAAACAATTTCTACTGCCCTTACTGCATTGGAAAAATTAATGGGAGAGCTTGGCTCATCAGTGGTGAACCCTCCCAGCGGTTTCGCCAGTTTAATCTACCATACACCGCTGTTTTTCTAAAATAAATAGGTTTAATCTACCATTAAACTGGCGAAACCGCTGGGAGGGTTCACCACTGATGAGCCAAACTCTCCCATTAATTTTTTCATTGCAGTAAGGGCAGTAAAAATTGTTTAATATTAAAAAAGAATCTTACGCGTTTAAAATAGTTTCGAATTTTGATAACAGATGGCGCGCTAGTGCATCATATATATATATATATATATATATATGTTATTTAAAAATATTATTTTATTTAAAAATATAATTTATAGATTCAAATATTCTGCTAAGTATACCACCAGATGTCACGACTTCCCCTATATAAACCTATTGTTGTTGTTTCCCGTTGGCCGGCTCAAATCTTTCGGTAGATATGTAAATATATTTTTCTTTTTTTTTTCTTACGCCATGAGTCAGGCATACCTTTCTCAAATTATATTTTCTATATTCAATAAGCTTAATTAAAGCTATTTATAATCATTACTATTTTTATTATTATAATTTCAAGATTTTAACCATGACTGCATTACCATAGCTTAATCCTCAAGATAATCAAAATAAACAGATCATCTTTTTTATGTAATATATTATATATATGTTATGAATATTTTGTTTTGTTGTTGAAAAAGATAGAGAATTGAAGGTGCAGTCGTGAAAAAAGGAAAGATAGTTATTTACCTATCAAGTAGTTTTTATTTTGAATTACTTGTAGTAAATTACACATACAATTATTTTTCACAGTAATATGGAATTTATAAAATGAATCCCTATATTCGTGAATTAAAAATAGGTAGTTAACTATACATATTTACAACAAATATTCAAAGTATTCTAAATCTATGATCAAAAATAAAAGTATGTCAATGATCAAAATAAAATACATGTTTTTGAAAAATAAAATATCTGCATTTTAGATTTATAATATATATATATGAAATATTTACTTTTTTTTTTTCAACAAATCTTCCAACTATAAGAAAAAATGTTATATTTCTAAATTATCACAACATTTAGAGGTTTTACTTACGTAAGCTTCACAAATTCAGCATTCAGTGGGACTGCCTCTTGCTTGAAACAATGATACAATTATGTGCGGGAATTCTTCAAATAAAGATTGCTTGTAGGATAAATGTTCGATTTTAAACCGCCATGATCCGGGATTGAACCCCGCATTGGGCATTTTTTTTCTGAAGAAAGGAAATTGCGTCAATGACCCCCAGATCTTGCAAAGGTTCAATGCCACCAGTGAGTATAGGTAAGCAAAGAAGTCCTAGCATACTTGTAAATGCAGAAATCAAGCTGCTTTTAACATATGTAGACATTCAGTACACTTTCAGTAAAGGTAGTCGCCAAATACCACCCACCATGATTATAAGAGCCTGTATCATGTACTTGGGTTAATCTTTAGTAGGTGGGGGCTGCAATATTCTTCTATATCAATAATAGCTGCTTGTAGAACGACATATTTACGAACGTAAAAATATGTCCAGGGTAGCCTAGTGGACATGGAATCTGCCCCATGGCATAAGCGGAAAACTGTGGGTTCGATTCCCATCCCTGGACACTTTATTTTTCCGTTTATCATTACTCTTCACAATTCATCCTTCCATACTTCGTTCCTAAGGTTAGAAATAATCGTTATTTCTCCTTGAAATGAATTTTGATATTTTGCTGAAAAGAAACACATGCGGGATAATTTTCAATTTTTATACAAAAGAGCATTCCTTTTTCGCTATTTTTCCCTTCCCATATATTCATTCTTAATATTGCCATTCACCTGTTGGAGAACAATAGCTCTTTCGTTCAAAAGAAACATATGGGGGATAATTAATTTATATATGTATTATGAATAATAGCTTGTATTAATATCTTGGAGATTTCGGTGTTAATTTGAACAATTCTTGAGTCGTGTTCCAAAATATTCCAGATATTTATAATAGAGATCTTAGGAGTAAGGAGGACCAAGGAAGTCACCAAGGGACTCTCCGCTACCTCATCAATCTTTATCTAGCAGAACGGACTTCTAGCTGGGATTGATACAATCCGCAGACGTCCTGGCAGCCATGTAGAATGGTGTTATCACGGTCTGGTTTCTATGAACAAAATACTGATTGTTGGAAACGAGTTACTAAAGAGAGATTCAATATTTATTTTACCCATAATATTCTGATTTCTATTTTAAATTTCTATAAATATCTCTTTAGAATAGAACCTATAAAATAAATTCAGAAATGAAAATTCGAAACCATTTTAGACTTCAAAATATTTTGTTTTTCAAACAGAAATAATGTAATATATTTTTATCTCAATTTATAATAAGTATTTAAAACATGTATATAATAATATGTTCCAATATTATAACCTCTGTGAAATCTTTAGGACAAAATAACAAAGCCTTCGAGGTTGCGTTTCTTTCTTTAAAACGTTTAATAATGCTCAAGCTTTCGGGTATGGTGGCCCCTCTACAGGAGCAACGCAAATGTTTGCGTTGCTCCTGTAGAGGGGCCACCATACCCGAAAGCTCTAGCATTATTAAACGTTTTAAAGAAAGAAACGCAACCTCGGAGGCTTTGTTATTTTGTCCTAAATATAATAATATGTATATAAAAATTGTATTTATTATTAAGTTATTAACGTGATAATCCTGTTGAAGGACTGACAAGTCTGAAAACTTGAAAATAAAAAGTTGTACAAGAAACTTAACCCTAGAAGCTTCATTTATTTTATAATATTTTAGACGCGTAAGATTCTTTTTGAAATTAAACAATTTCTACTGCCCTTACTGCAATATAGAAAAATTAATTGGAGGGCCTGGCTTATCATATATTTTTACATTGCAATAAGGGCAGTAGAAATTGTTTAATATCAAAAAGAATCTTACGCGTCTATAATAGTTTCGAATTTTCATAACAGATGGCGCGCTAGTATATCATTATACTAATTTAGAAATACGTGTACAAAATGTTAATATGTTAGTTTGGGCATATGTTCGAGCTACGAACGCAGTTACTTGCACTTATTGCTAGGGTGTTGGACATTTGCAAGATTCGGAAATATATTTATTTACGGGGCGCTAACCAGAATGGATGATTTTTGAGCCTCGGATCGCTCTGGCTTCCCTTCAGCCACGCATTAATCTTTCGCCTTTGCAAGAATCAGGAGCCAAATTTTATATAAATGTTTGCTCTAAAAAAAACGTTCAATTCGGGAATCGATCCGTGTCTTGGCTGTCGAAGTTGACAGTTTATACCACTACTCTACCAACCCTCTGTCCCAATCAAATTTCCATATCTTATTTAATATACGTGTCAATCATTTTATTTGATAAAGGGGATATCGCGAAAGCTTGTAAACCTAGAAATAAAAGATTAGCGTCGATATATTTTATTATTTCTAAAAACCATTTATAAAATACGCTAAAATAGAAGTGTCAAAATGATATATCATATAATTTTAAAATCAATAAACTGATATACACTCATGGACAAAACTTAAGGAAGTTGTACCTTTTAGCATATATATCGGGATTGAGACAATAACTCTGAAAGATATTACAGTGACCTTTATTGTAGACACACATATATACACTCATGGACAAAACTTAAGGAAGTTGTACCTTTTAGCATGTATATCGGATTGAGACAATAACTCTGAAAGATATTACAGTGACCTTTATTGAAGACACACATATATACACTCATAGACAAAACTTAAGGAAGTTGTACCTTTCAGCATGTATATCGGGATTGAGACAATAACTCTAAAAGATATTACAGTGACCTTTATTGTAGACACACATATATACACTCATGGACAAAACTTAAGGAAGTTGTACCTTCCAGCATGTATATCGGGATTCAGACAATAACTCTAAAAGATATTACAGTGACCTTTATTGTAGACACACATATATACACTCATGGACAAAACTTAAGGAAGTTGTACCTTTCAGCATGTATATCGGGATTCAGACAATAACTCTAAAAGATATTACAGTGACCTTTATTGTAGACACACATATATACACTCATGGACAACACTTAAGGAAGTTGTACCTTCCAGCATGTATATCGGGATTCAGACAATAACTCTAAAAGATATTACAGTGACCTTTATTGTAAACACACATATATACACTCATGGACAAAACTTAAAGAAGTTGTACCTTCCAGGCATGTATATCGGGATTCAGACAATAACTCTAAAAGATATTACAGTGACCTTTATTGTAGACACACATATATACACTCATGGACAACACTTAAGGAAGTTGTACCTTCCAGCATGTATATCGGGATTCAGACAATAACTCTAAAAGATATTACAGTGACCTTTATTGTAGACACACATATATACACTCATGGACAAAACTTACGGAAGTTGTACCTTTTATCATGTATATCTGGATTCAGACAATAACTCTGAAAGATATTACAGTGACCTTTATTGAAGACACACATATATACACTCATGGACAAAACTTAAGGAAGTTGTACCTTCCAGCATGTATATCGGGATTCAGACAATAACTCTGAAAGATATTACAGTGACCTTTATTGAAGACAACACATATATACACTCATAGACAAAACTTAAGGAAATTGTACCTTCCAGCATGTATATCGGAATTCAGACAATAACTCTGAAAGATATTACAGTGACCTTTATTGAAGACACACATATATACACTCATGGACAAAACTTAAGAAAGTTGTACCTTTTAGCATATACTGTATATCGGGATTCAGACAATAACTCTGAAAGATATTACAGTGTCCTTTATTGAAGACATACATGATAACCAAATGTGACAAAATTGCTTTGGTCTCCTTCGAAAAAAAAAATAAATAAATAGACGACCGACGATATCAAAGACTTTCTACTTCCTTAAATTTTATCCATTAGTGTAAGTCTATTTTTTTAGTTAAATATTATTTGAATTCCTTGTTAAGATCAGAAGTAATTCAATAAATATATATATGCGCGAAAATATATAAATATATTCATAATTATTCAGATTTATATGTGTATTTTTTATTTTTCACATTCTCAATTCAAATCAATTTGATTACACCAACGTATGCCAACACACATCCAAATAAAATTCAATAATTCCGTATAAAATATATTTCCGCGAATATTTTCCGTTTAACAATTCTATTCAATTTCACTACTATATAAATCAATTGCAATCTAAAACACAATGATAAAATAGAGATAACGTATCTAAATGTAAATGTATATCAATTTGTGAGTGTACATTAAATGTACACAGATGGTAAATCTGTCCAAAACATTATTTCTTTTAGCGACCGTGTGATAAAATTGAGTTATGAATGTTGTTAGGGCTCTGTATTCATACCATAATCTCGTTAGGGTCTCTGTAGGTCACGTGATCCTTGAGCTGAGCTGTGATTGGTTCACTACAGCTTGTTGTTATTTTGACTATACCCATCTTATATATTCAATGGAGAGAAATTTTTAATATATATATAATATAATATAATAATAATAATATAATAATATAACAAAATATTTTTAAAAACTTAATACTGTTGACGTTATGTGGCGCTGAGTTTGTTGTTGACACACTTTAAAATGTTATAACACCTTGATGAAGGTTGGCGTTCAGCTAACTGAAATATTGGTAAAATAAATGATATTTTGATCTAATATATGCCTTTTTAATTAAAGATGTATCTATGGATTGCTCTATTTTCAAATATATATATATATATATATATTTTATGGATAATTGTTTGTTGTTAGTTAAAGGGTTGAAAGTGCAGTCGTGATAATAAAAAGATAATTATTATACCGTCAAGTAAGTTTTCATTTTCAATTACTTGAGGAAATATTACACATTAGTTATATTCACATTATATAGAATTTATAAAGTTAATCCTATATTGGTGATTCAAAAAGATAGATTTGTTAACTAGGCATGCTTACAACAAAGCTGAAAGTCATTCTAAAAACGATGATAACCAAAATTAAAATATCAATGAATAAAAATAAAATATATGTAATGAGGTGAGGTCCTGTAGCCTCTTGTAGAATCCTGTCGACTAACTTTGTGATGATGAAGTGTTGACTCTCGCTATACTGTGTTGACCGAGAGGAACAGTCAGGATGGGGAGTTTTCCAGTACCTCTCAGCACCTTGGAAGACCTTTAAAAGTTCTCACAGAGTACAGGCAGTCGTGGTCGAGGCAGAGTGGAAAGCTTGGGAATGTCCACACAAAAAACGAAGACACAGTTTGCACTAAGAAAGTTCCGTGAACAGATAAAAGTTGAGCTAGGAGCGAAAGATGGGGAGATAGAAGATTTCTTACTGGTCTACATGATGGATGATATGGACCTGAGGTACGACCGACGTGGGCTCGCGCAGATGCTGAACTAACTGTATTTTTAGCTAGGACGGGGGCTTTATGTACCGTTCCTGAGAAAGGGGGTTTTGCATTTCACCAGATGTGAGGAGTGTGGGTCGTCTGGTGACATTCTAAACTTGCGCCCGTGGCAGTTTCCATTTTTAGACCTTGTTGTAGGAATTCTAAATCTATC